TCTGAGAAATTGATGTTCTTGATTTCATCAGCAATGTATTTGTCAGTGCAAAATGCATTACTTATGAGAGCTGCCTACATATAACCCATATGGATCTGATGTAAAATATTTAAACCCAAAATGAAGCAGAAAACACAGCAAAACAATATTCTTTTGGAAGGTACATATTTTCTCCCAAATAAAATAGTCAACCAACCAGTTGCCATTGAGTTGATTCCAATTCATAGCGACCCTCTAGGGCAGAGTAGAATTGCCCCAAAGAGTTTCCAAGGCTGTAAATCTTTACGGAAGCAAACTGTCACGTCTCCTGTGGAGCAGTGGGTTCCAACTGTCCACCTTTTCGTTAGCAGCTGAGCGCTTTAACCACTGTGCCAGTAAGGCTCCTATAAAATAGTTGCAAAAAAACCAAACCTTTTGCTGTTGAGTCCATTCCAACACATAGCGACCCTATAGAACAGGTTAGAGCTGCCTCATAGAGTTTCCAAGGAGCAGCTGGTGGGTTCGAACTGCCGACCTTTTGGTTGGCTGCCAGGGACCATTAATGGAGAGACACAGAAAACAATTAGAGAAGGGAGATTTCTGAGTAATGAAGACATCTCTTACAAGTAGTTACATTCCCAGTATTATCTTTTTCCAACCAAATTTGGGGAAATGCACAGTCATGGAGAGCATCTACCTGCAGAAAACTTTCAAAGACAGGTTCCAATTTTTGGCTATTCTGTCTTTTTTAGCCTTCCCTTAATTAAACAGATATTTTTGGTATTAAAAAACAAAACAAACCGTGACCATGGAGTCGATTCCAACTCCTAGCAACTCTAAAGGACAGAGTGGAACTGCCCCATAGGGCTTCCAAGAAGCGGCTGGTGGGTTCGAACTGCCAGTCTTTTGATTAGCAGCTGAACTCTTAACCACGGAGCCACCAGGGCTCCATTTTTGGTATAGTGAATACAAATTGAAGTAACTATCAAAGTAACATTTCTCAAGTTTGTACCTTGGAAACTTTGGGCCGTGAGATGTTTGTTTTATTCAAACAAGATGCTTGTAAGGCAAATAAGCCTGGAAAAGTAGACTAAACAAAATTAAACAGGGTCTTGATTGCAGGACTATACTAAGCTTTAATAATGATATTGTAAGTCAAGACTCTCCAAGCAAGTTATTATCCAACCTACATTTACACGTAAGCTCTTTTTGCAAATAGCGTCTTATGAAAGTCGTGTTCTGCAGGACAGCGGTATCAAATACTGATTTAGAGTGATAAATCTATAATTGATTCAGGTTGGGGACTTGTGACCAAGGGACTCATTTTTAAAGACTGAGAGACGCTTGGAATTCATATGTCTGCACACTTCTTAGTCTGTTATTATATGCATTCTCACATGCATGTCAATGTGAGACAAACAAGAAGGTAATATTCATCAGGCTGCTGACATAGCAATAGGTGAAAGAAATAAGAGGACTCGGAGTATTATTTAGAAGAGGCACCTGAATCAGGCAGATTTACCCAAAAGTTAGAGTCAATATTGTGGGGGCTCAGAAGGGCAGCACAGGTAGGCACACTGCTGGTGAGAGGCGCCTGAAGAGAGGCTGTCTGGTTTGGACTACCACTCCTTACAAAGTGGAATACATAAAGACTCCTCTTGCCTGGGTGTGTCACCTAGATACCCAGATCCACTACAGAGGAGAGAGCAACAGAGGCAGCTGAAGGAGTGTTTTGCCACAGTTGTGATAGGCAATCTGTCAAAAGGCAATCTGTCATCACCAGTGCCATTCTTTGGGGCCAGGACTTCAGCTCTTCTTCCAAGCAGCACACAGTGCTCTCCTTCCCACCCCTGCACCATTACAAGCCCCATTGGCTTATTGGCATGCCCATTTCAGAAGAGGTGCTGGATCTGTTCTAATACAGGGACCCCACATTTGCCTGCTAGTGATTGTGACTCAAAGGCCACAAAATGCCCATCACTCAGCAGAAACTGGAGCATCTAAAATTGTAAAGGCCCTGAGAGAGAAGTTTTTTTTTTTTTAATTTTTCCTACTGTCTTTCCATAAGATACAGTTCTGAATTAAGGACATATTAAACTGTCAAAGCTTACTGTCAGAGAAGATCAATGAGGCAGGGTTAAATGAAACCAGTCAAGGAAGATATGATATAAAATAGTCAATCTGGCATATTCATTAAGATTAATTGATTTATTCATTCACATCTTCATCTATCCACTTACTTGACATTTATAGGGACCTCCATGGCAAGTCCCAGAGAGACAGAAATGAGAATGGAAAACAAAGTCTGTAATGTAAGGAGTCCAGTCTAGCTATTTTTCCAACTTTGGAATGTATATGAATCACTTAGAATGATGGCTTAAACTGCAGATTCTCACCCCCTCTCCAAGAGATTCTCATTCAGTTAGGCTGATGTGGGTTCCAAGATCTTTCATTGTTTTTGATGGTGATTGTCATAAAACAAAGAAACCAAACCCATTGCTATCCAGTTGATTCTGACTCATAGTGACCCTATAGGACAGAGTAGAACTGCCCCATAGCGTTTCCAAGGCTATAAATCTTTACAGAAGCAGAGTTCCACATCTTTCTCCCACAGAGCGGCTGGTGGGTTCAAACCACGGACCTGTCAGTTAGCAGCCGAGCACTTAACCACTGTGCCACCAGGGCTTCTTGGTGATTATGATACATATGGTCTATGGACCTTATTTTAGAGTTCCTGGGTGGTGCAAACAGTTAACATGCTTGGCTATTAAGCGAAAAGTTGGAGGTTCGAGTCCACCCAGAGGTGCCTCAGAAGAAAGGCCTGGTGATCTATCTATGAAAAATCAGCCCTTGAAAACCTTACGGAGCACAGTTCAACTCTGGCACACATGGGGTCACCATGGCTGGAGTCTACTCAACGGAAACTGACTGGGCCATACTTAGAGAAACACTAATCAGGCACATAGCAGCCAGAGGGCTCTAGATGGTCTATTCTGAAAGGACTGAGTGGTTAAGAGCGTAATGCTTCCGAGCATTTCCTTTAGAGTCAAGTGACTCGAGTTCAGATTATGGCTCCATCACTGGCTTGAACTTGGGAAGATAACTTGACCGCTTTAAGATCTAGTTTCATTTTAAATAAAATGGGAATAATATTCCCTATCCCTTGGTGTTATTTTGAGACTAAAATAAGATAATATATGTCTGGTATACTACTTAGCATATAATGGGTGCTCGTACATAGCAGTAATAGTAATAATAATTATTGCTGTTGGTGGTCTTACCGTTACCACTACTACAGCGATTCATCCAGAATTAAGCTATATTAATGCATACTAATTATATATTCATGTATTATATTAATGTCTAATTATATATCTAATATATTATAGTAATACATTTTATATTAATAGATATTCATATATTACTAACAACAACAATATAGTCATATAGAGAATACGACTTTGATAAATCCAAGTGAGAAATTCAGGAAATTTTATATAACAATATGAAGGCATCATGCGAAAAATCCTTCTATTTCCTACAGGGTTAGACATACCATCTCTCTCTTATTGGATAGAAAACAGAATAGATTAGCAAATAGGGTGAAGATCTACATTTTTACAAAGGCAGTGGTAAATGGGACTCTCTTGCAAATTTTGGCAAACTTGTTATTGTTTGTTGTTTTTAAGGAGTTTCAAAGCCAAATAGGAGATATTCATTATCTTTTTCCCTCCCATAATTTTCAAAATTTTCTGTTTGAATAATAGCTTCTTTCTATTTTGAAGTTGTAATGGTTAATATAAAAATTTTAGAAAGTATGGAAAACTTTAAAAGTAAGAAAATAATCACCAATATATTCACTATCCAGATATAACCATAATTAAAATTTGGTGTTTAGTCATTTTTTTATCTATTTATAGAAAAATATAGCACAATTTAAATTATTTTCTTTTACTATTATATAATAAGCATTTTCACATATCACTGAAATGTCTTTATAAATGTAAATATTTGATAGCTGAATAACTTCACTCTTTGTGTGTAGCATAATTTATTTTACCAATCTCTTAATTTGCACCTTTTTTATTTTGCTACATTAAGATACACAATAAGGAAAATTTTTATACATAATGCTTGTGTGTGTGTATACAATTTTTCCTTGGATCTATTCCTAGAAATAGAATTACAGAGTGAAAGTATGAATATTTTTAAATGTGAGACATGTTACCAAATTTCTTTCTGTAAAGGTTGTGGTGATACTTACTTGCACTCCCAGAATGAAAAGTACCAATTTATATGATGACTAAAGATATTAAATGTGTTTTGAGGACTGTATTGGCCATCGTATTTCTTTTTCTGCAAATCATTCTTTTCTTTTGTCCAGTTATCTATTGGAGGCTTGATTTTTTATTGATTAAAAAAAATTATTTTCTCTCTCTCTCTCTCTCAAATAATTATGTAATATTTGTGGCAATTACTTTAAGTTTATTAATTACATCTACTTTCATGGTTTATGATACATAGATGTTTCCTGCATTTATGTAAGCAAATCAAATATTTTCTATTACGATTTCTTTTGTTACTTTTATGGTTAGAAAGTCCTCTTTCATCTAGAATTTAGGAAACTGTCCAATTTTGATGTAAAATATGAGGTGACAATCTAATTATTTTGCACTAGCTAGCCAATTTTCTGAACACCACGGGGTAAATGCTTCCTGCTTTCTTCATCAATACTTGGTGATGATGATGACATGATAAATATAATGATGATAGTTGACACTTATTTAGTGCTTACTTTTAAGCCAAGCATTATTCGAAGAGCTTTGTAGGTATTAATTTAGTTAGTCTTTACAACAACCCTAGGAAAGTCAGTGAAATTATTCTCTACATTATCATTAGTAGTAGTAGAGGAAAGTGATGCTCAGGAAGGTTAAGTAACTTGCCTAAGGGCACACAGCTAGTAACCTTTTACTTCGTAGAATTTCCTTTGATCACAAATATATTAACATTTCCTTTGCCAGGCAGACCCCAAATGTGGCAGCTTTTAGCAGCAGCGTGCTGGATGCTTCTTCTTGGATATATACGTGGTTGTGATAAGAAAGGAAGAACCACAAATCCTGAAGCTAATATGAATATTGTAAGTCATTCATTGAGAAAAAGAAAACCAAACATCAAAATAAGGAATTAACTTATCATCTTCTTAGATATAATCTGGTATGCCTGTATAGTTTTTCAATAATCCTTCCAGTGACCAAGTGTGTGTTTCCTCGCCTGTCCCCTTGCATAGCTAACTAAATCCAAGAGTTGAAAGACCTGACTCAAGTTGAAGCAGTAATACCCCCTCTCCTGGTGGTCTGAGCTGCCATCTGATGGTGGCCTCCTGGAGAAGGCCGTGAGTTCATATTGATTTTTATCTCTTCAGAGAATCCTTGGGTCCTTCCTGAGGATTTTATAGAGCAGTTTCTATGAGTTGGAGAGCTACATCAGTGTACCTTTTTGCTTTAGTTGCTTAAGCAAGAATTCATACCAGAAGGGGAATGGGACAGTTCTGGACAAAAAACAAAAGGGCAAATGACAAGTATCCACTAGAGGCTTCATTCCAATGGGATACTCTATACCCCAGTATACATTGCTCACTATTGATGTCCTTATCCACACCCAAACTTGATTAAAACTTCAGGAAAAATGGAGATGTCTAAGAGTTTAATTGTTTCTTGGTACTCCTCCTTCCAAAGTATTCAACAAATATCTCTGACCTCTGGCCACATTGCTGAACTCACAGTCTATGAATATATGTCTCAAATCCAAATTGCCACCTTCCTCCCATGTTCATACATACTCTTTTCCTCCATGATCTGAGCACTTGTTAGCTCCTAATCTTTCTACAAGGATAATAAGAATAACAAACACTTTCAGAGCACTTATTTTGTGCCAGACACTGTTCCAGATACTTTACAACAAACCTGTAAGAAGATACTATTATTACCTCTATTTTACAGTTGAAGGAAATGAAGCAGAGTTCAACTTACATAGCTAATAAGTGGAAGAGCTGGAATTCAAAGCCATACAGTCTGTCTCCAGAGTCTGGGCTGTTAGGCATTTCTCTGTGCTGCCCCATAATACAGACACCCACATTCTGTGCCTGGTGTGGGCAAATGCATAATCTTGTGGCAAGGCCATATAGGCTTTGGAGTTAAACTTACTTTGGGTTTAATACTGTCTTTTTCTCTTCCTAGTGTATAAACTTGAACAGATTATTAATATCCCTGAACTTTAGTGTTCTCAACTGTAAAATGGGTACAATTTTATCTCAAAAGCCTGTTGTAAAGATTAATACAACAGTGAGTGTAAACCATCCTCTATGTAAAAAATGACTAGTAAACGCTAGTTATCCTCTTCTGTGTATATCTGTGGTGGGGTATCTTCTGTTTACCCCTCTGGATCCATCATCTAATTCTTTTACACCATTCTTTCTGCCCAGGAAGCTGATCTATAAGGACTAGGTCAACAAGCTTCCTTGACCTTTGATTTTCAGGAAATCTTGAGCAGGGAATTGGCAGGAGGGAGGAGAATGAGGTTGGGCTATTTACTGCCCTGGTTCCCTTCCTGTGAGGTCAGTTTAAGGGGCCTATATCCCACCAGTGAATATGATAGCTCCTTTCAATGAGGCCCTCTCTACTCAACCTTCTCCTGACTCTGGTAACCACTTCCTCCCATCTCCCTTCAGGTCTAAGGTTGGTAACAGCTCACTTGTTACAAACCACAGGGCACTGCACCATCCCTTGTGGTTTTCCTCATTAGATGACTATGTAATGTTTTTGTCAAAACATTTTGTGAGTGAATCAGGACAATTAGTAATACTGGGTCAACAGGTTTAAACCAGGATGTTTGGTCACTCCACCCTGCTTTAACCATGTCTCTGAATACAGCCCCTTCTCAAAACCCTCCTCAAATTATCCTAATTTTTCCGTCGGTATGCTGTCCCAGTACATAAACACATGAACAGTATGTTGCAACTTAAAGTTCTATACATTGCACTACACGTGTACAAATTAAGAAATCACAACATTTAGGTGTATATTTTCCTTTCCTGTTTTCAGAGCCAGATTATTTCCTATTGGGGCTATCCTTACGAAAAGCATGATGTCGTGACTGAAGACGGTTATGTACTCGGAATTTATAGGATCCCTCATGGAAAAGGATGCTCCAGTAGAACAGGTAGTATTTATTTAGTTATGAAAGGATTAATGCCTAAAGCAGGGATGTCTCGATGTCCCGGTAGCAACAGGACAGCTTTTGTTCTGAAATAGGTGTTTTTATGCTTCTCTTACTTCTTAGCTCCTTTTATTCTCTAGAGTGCTGTGTCAGATGCATTAACTGTTTAAAGATAAAATCTAGATTTTTGGAAAAAGAGGAAGATGTAGCTAGCGGTGTTGCTGACTTTATAGAGCCAGCCATTTCCCAGAATAACTCCATTACCTTTGTAAATACTCATGAGGACTCTGTCTCTCCAAACTTTTCTCTTAACGTTTCTGACAGGTAGCTGCCAAAATGCAGAGAGTAGAAAGCTGTCTCTGTAATCAGAAGCTACCTGAGGGCCCAGATCAGAGATTGGCTAGGGGCTATGGCTGCCATTTGGCAGTACTTAACATTGGCAGAGTTAGTAACACCTCTTCTTTCCCTTTTCTCTAAAAGGTGGATAAATAGACATAGACTCTTAGTTCCTTGCTTCCAGATGGCTGAGGGCTCTCTGAGAATCAGTCTAGATCATCCAATCTCAGGAAGTCCTTCTAGCCTCAAAAGTAACAGGATGGAGTGTCCTGAGGTAACAGCACAGCCATCAGAAACCTTGTCACTTCTTCCTCTCTTTTCTGATTTTTTTACACCATTTCCCCTACTTCTTTTTTGCTTCCTCTTTCTTCATCAAATTACTCAAATTCTAGATTGGGAATAGGATTTTTATATTAAATTAACAATGTTCCATTGCGTGAAACTTCACTTACAACCTTGTATTTTACTTTCTAACAATGCAAATTAAATAAAACAGCGTATGTAAAATCCAGCATATTGCTAGCATGGTATTAAGCAAACATTCACAAATGGTATTTTTATTATTGTTTTTCGTTGTTTTACAAAAGCTAAAACTTTATATTTGAAGTTCTGTGCTCAGGTGCTTCTTGAGACATAAAACGTTATTAATATGAATAACAATAATGATAGAGCTAATATAGACTGTGCTACACGGTCTTTTAAGTATTTTAATTCTCGTTTAATTCTTACAAGTACACTATAAGATAGCTTCTGTTATTATTCCCCATTATACAGATAAGTTAACTTAAGGACAAAGAGGTTAGTATGTAGCAGAATGGGTTATGAACAGGAGAATCTGACTCTAGTACTTAAATAATAAAACAATGTATTACATATAATCCCAATTTATAAATGGAAAAACAAGACCTCGTTGCTGTTGTTGTTAGGTGCCGTCGAGTCGGTTCCGACTCATAGCGACCATATGTACAACAGAAGGAAACATTACCAGGTCCTGTGCTATGCTCACAATCGTTGCTATGCTTGAGCCCATTGTTGCAGCCATTGTGTCAATCCATCTTGTTGAAGGTCTTCCTCTTTTTCACTGACCCTTTACTTTACCAAGCATGATGCCCTTCTCCAGGGACTGATCCCTCCTGATAACAAAAAAAAAAAAAAAAGAGACATAGACAAGATAAATAAGTTTCCCAAGTAAGCAGTTCAGAAGGGACTAGAACCCAGATTTGCCTGACACCAAATTTCACTCCTTAACCTCTCTTTTATATTATAGGAAGTCAGGAAAGAGAGTTTTCTTATAGACACTGAGGAAGTTGAGATGTGAAATTCTTGTTGCCTGTGTTTTGCAGCTCCAAAGCCTGTTGTGTATTTGCAGCATGGTTTAATTGCATCTGCCAGTAACTGGATTTGCAATCTGCCCAACAATAGCTTAGCCTTCCTTCTGGCAGATACTGGTTACGATGTGTGGATGGGGAACAGTCGGGGAAACACCTGGTCCAGAAAACACTTGAAATTGTCGCCCAAATCATCAGAATACTGGGCATTCAGGTAAGGAGATATTTACTAATGAAAAAAATGTGTGCTATGTTCATTTATACTTGTGAACAGACTCCGATTTTTCCCTTCCTGTCCAAATGCACCTCATGGAATCCAGGAGAGAGAAACAAAGGAAGCACTTCTTCCTCCACCCATGCTTTCTTCACAGACTCTGAGAAATACCCGAACACCTTTATTATTACATCACTGTTTGTTTTCAAACCCTTGCTTCCTGGTGTGTGTGTGTGTGTGTGTGTGTGTGTGTGTGTGTAGTCAAAATGCAAAGGTCACCTTTAGAAAGGATAACAGAACTTAGTATCATCATTTTGTCAACGTGAATCCTGGAGGAAGATTCTATGAGACCCTTACTAACAGGAAAAATGAAGCTAATAGAGGAATGGGAACAGAAACAAGGCTTTGGCTGAAAATCCTGAGAAACAGACATTCCTGATAAGCCAAAAGCGAGCCTAATCCTTTTGTAGAGATGATACTCAAATGTTTATTCACTCAGTTGTGGAGGATCTCTACCCTACAGCCAGGCTGGCTGTGCTGAAATCTGTCCCCAGAGTCAGGTCCTGGGAAAGTACAGGGAAAAGGCTGATCACAGATAAGCTAAGGAACAGAGAGTTGTCAGTAGCAGCCTCTGGGGGCACTGTCTGTTTCAAAAGCCTGGCCTGCTTGGTCACAGAGTAAGCCCAGGCACTTGCATAGGAGCTAAGAACCATGCCTTGAAGGTCACCAAAGCCATGTGTTCCATGGCCTCAACCCTACCGTATTCCTGGAAGCCATTTGGCATTTCCTAATGCCACGCTCAGTGCAGTTGTGTCATTGTACTATTGTAAGAGACTTAATGATTCCCCAGGTCAGTGTTTCCCAAACTCCTTGCAGGATAAGAAGTACCTGAGGTGATGTTAAATATGCCGATTACCAGGCCTCTTTCCTGGAAATTCTATTCCCTTGCTCCGGGCTGAGACCCGCGAACCTGTTTGCTTTGTTCCCTTTTTTACAATAAACAGGGTTTCGTTAATCTGCTATAGAAATAAGTGAAATATCACTAGCCTTACAGGGAAAGCACCTCTAGGCCTTTGGAAATCAGATATTTCTGATTCTAGTTTCTTAAAAAAGTCTCTTTTAATCAAGGTGACATCCTCACAAGGTGCACAGACTCATACTACTGGATATTTAGACTCTAATTTCATATTTAATTAAACACAAAGTATCTATGAACATGTTTAAATACTGCAGTTCTAACGATGAGATAAAGTCCCTGGGTAGCACAAATAGTTAAGTGCTTGACTGCTGACCAAAAGATTGGTAGTTCAAACCTACTCAGAGGTGTCTTGGAAGAAAAGGTCACAGTCTTGAAAACTCTTTGGAGCACAGTTCTACTCTGCTACCCATGGGGTTGCCATGAGTTGGAATCTACTCAATGACAACTGGTTTGGTTTGGTTTTAACAACGATATGTTTTTCCAATTTGCTTGTTCCTTCTTGTTGGCAGTTTGGATGAGATGGCTAAATATGACCTTCCAGCCACAATTGATTTCATCATAAAGAAAACTGGACAGGAGCGACTCTTCTATGTGGGACACTCCCAAGGCACTACCATAGGTGTGTTTGGGGAAGGTTTGACCTAAGACATGTCCAAGGTGCTTCTTCCAAGTCATGGCAGGGGACAGGATTTCTTCTCTTTGTGCAGTTCTCTAGTTTGGGGACTTGAGTTGGGAAGTCATTTCCACTGGCTGGTTTTTGTAGACTAAAAACAAAAATGACAGCAGGGACTTTTTTCCCAGCACTGAATTTGGAGGTTGATAGATAAGTCTGAAGTAGAGAAGATAGTTCACTTATTTATTTGTACACCCAATAAACATTTGCTAGACACTGGGCTAGATTCTAGAAAGCAGAGCTAAATACAGTATGTGTCCTTCTCTTATAGGGCTTGCAGTCTAGTGAGAGACACCAAAAAGAAAGCAGAGAATTACCAAACTCAGTGATTAGATGCTACAGTCAGTGTGACTTTTAGTTGCCAGGCAAGCACTGGGGTAGGCAAGATGTGGGTGGGCCTATGTTGGCAGTGCCATGAGGCACCTCACTCCCCTCACTGCTCTCTCTTGGGCTAGAGGCCCCTACAATACCAACAGCATTTCTGCCAGCCTCTTTTCTGTATCTTAATCCTAATCATGTTTCTGGTGTAAAGTAGGTCCTTATATTCCTGTACAGCACTAGGCATTCTACATATATTTTCTCACTGGAAACCATAAGCATTTGAGACCATTAACATCCATATTTTACAAATGGCTGAATTTAGGAAACCTTTCTAACGGTGATGATTCCAAGTAGCATGTTGAGTGTTATATATATATATATATTCTGTTCATTTAATCTTCACAGGAATCCTATAAAGATTCTATTATCCATATTTACAGATTGAGAAAATTAGGATCATAGATGCCCAAGTTTTCATACAACTCGTGAGTCGGAAGCCAAGGTTACAGTTCAGGTTTGACCAATGTCAACGTATGTCATCAGGCTAGACTGGTCATAGGACTTTATCAAGATGTTTTTCACAGTGACTGCTTGAATCTTCTCCACAACACTCTCTAGAAGTAGACCTGCACTCTGCAGGGATAGAAAACTCACCTTATTCTGAATATTCCATCCTTGGGAAATTCAGAAAACCTTGCCCTGCAAATGGCACTTACCTTTTTTTTCTTTTTTTTTTTGAGTTTCTTCTTTTTTGTTTCTTTCTCTCTTTTGTTTGGTTTTTAATCTGGTTACTTTTATGATCATTTAAAATAGATGAAGAATTGTTTTCAATCTACGATCTAGTGTCTTCTTCCCTTTCAGCTTTCATAGCATTCTCTACAAATCCAGAGCTGGCTAAGAGGATCAAGATATTTTTTGCACTGGCTCCAGTCATCACAGTGAAATACACCCAAAGTCCCCTGAAAAGATTAGCAATTCTTTCCAGGCAAGTACTCAAGGTATGTGACTTCCTAAGTTTAAACCTGTCGTAACTAAAACGAGCTCCACTTCCATTGCTTTCAAGAGTAGAGAACCTGAGACAAATGACACTTTACAAATTTCTGAGAAAATAACAGGTGCTCAGGGTTTACTGATTATAGTACTGATTTACCTACATTACTAGCACTGTCTTCATCTAAGTCTAGAAGATTTCCTTCCATGTCATCCCTCAATAGCAGCAAAAGCAAGAGCTAATTTGACTGGAGAATTACATATTGAATATAGTAGATTAAACTTCTCTTCAGCACCCCTGAGTTTTTCAGAGGCAGTATAGTGTAGTAATTGAGATCACAGCGTGCAGCCAGATGGCATGGGCTTGAATCCTAGTTCTATTATTTGCAAGCTGGGTAAATTTGGCCAAGACCTTAAGCTTTCTGTGAAACATTTTTCTCATGTGTAAAATGGGAGTAATAATAATCCCTACCTCAGGGGTTTGCTGTGAAGATATTTAATAAGTTAATGCATGTAAATACTTCAGGCCCAGGTCTTGCACATTGTAAGCCTCTAGTAATTGTCAGCTATTGTTGTTGCTGTCATTATTTTCATAGAACACACCCTCCGCCATCATTCAAAGCCCAACCATGCTCAATTGCCTAGCACTTCACAAGCTCTCAGGCTGCCAACTTCCCAAACCAGAGGCACTACCCCAGGCCCCAGAATCTCTAGCCTAGCTGACAGCTAACCAATCTGATAATGTACCTAGTGGAGGTGAATTGGTCCACATGAGTTGTGGGTTGATGTGTTTTCCTATTGCGTTTTAACATGGGCTTCTCCCATGACAACTGATGGCAAGTGTACTCTTCAGTGACAGCAGTGCTTTCAGTGAGAGCAGATAAAAGTGAAATAATTCTTACAGAAGCCAGGGATTCTAGGAGGTGAGAGATCAGCAAATTAGCTGTGGTGATTCAGTCCATACCCATACAACCCGGAAAGACAGGTGCAAAAAAGCTGTCAGAACAAGGCAGGAAATGTTCACAATTGCCTTGGCTGTCTTATACAATAGAGATTTCACAATCCATTACATCGAGGGCTATTTTTTAGAACCAAACTCAGTTGTATTATAATGCTTTTGTTTTTTAAATGTATGTATGTGTGACCTAACCTTGACGCCCTTGTCCATCGTTGGCTGCCAGTTTGTCCTTGGTCCCACAAAATTAGATAAATAACATTGTGTATATTGTTAAATTCTTTCAGCTTTCCTACACAGCTAAGGACTTTAGGATGCAAGATTTTGTCGTTCCCTTCAATTTTCACAATTCTGCTTCAACCTTCCATGTGTTCTGATATACTTGTGGTATAATGCAATTCGATTTGGCAAATCAATATCGAGGAACAACAATTTCGAAAGCATGGAATCAGAAAACAGCTATGTCAATAAGGACACTTTTCAGCAGAGTGATATGACTGAAAATTAGGGTGCATGTGAGAGCATTGGGAGATTTGACTAAGAAGAGAAACGGAACAGTTAGTGGAGGGTCGTTATGTTAAGGAGTTTAGACTTTTTCCTATTGATAATGGGAAGCCATTAAAGAAAGCTAAGCAGAGAAGTAGCGTGGTTAAGATTTGTGTTTTAGAAAGACAGCTCTCAAGAGCTTTTACTGCAGCGAAGGCACTAATACATTTGCCCCACTAATTAATAGAAACTCCAGCAGCATCATAATGAAGACACAAAAACAGTGCTAGGCAAACACAGAGAAAAGTGAAAATGCTTCCAGTTAGTAGACTCACAGAAGCCTCCTTGGTTGAGATGGCATTTGAGTTTGGCTTTAAGAACAAGATGTCAGTATACTGAGTGGTACAGACAGGCTTTCCAAACCAAGAAGGAAACGTAACATCAAACTGGAAAGGCTCAGGCCATGGGAAACTAAATGTAACTGACTTCATTGGGACTTAAAGTTTGTGAAAGAAAGTATGAGAAATACTATTGGAAATATAGAGATAGATTCTGAAAGGCCTTCAATGTCAAGTTAATAAGTTTGGAATTAATTCTATAGATAACGGGTGACCGTGGAAAGTATTTACACAGGAGAGTGACATGCACAGTGCTCTTTTATAAAGATTCTCCTGGTAACCAAATGTAAGTGGATGCGGGAAAGGACATCAAGAGGGGCTAAAGATGAGAAGAATGGTCATGGGGTAATTATTCTTCAGCTATTAGATGTTGGGGACCTGAGCCAGAATTGTGCAAAAAGAAGATAAAATCTATAGCATTTGACAATGAATGATAGCCTTATAAAACTGAAAACCAAACCTGTTACCATCAAGTCAATTACTGCAGCCTCATATGTTACAGGGTAGAACTGCTCCATACAGAGTTTTCTTGGCTGTAATCTTTACGAAAGCAAATTGCCAGGCCTTTTTTTGCAGTACCACTGGATGGATTTGAACTGCCAACCTTTCAATTGGCCGATAAGCACAAACCATTTACACTACTCAGGGACCTTTTACAACTTGGTTACTGGGTTAAACAAACTATCAGGTATGTTTTCCAGGAGTCCAAGAGATTGTGACGAAATGAAGAATATAGGCCAGAAAGAATTAGATAGTGTTTGCAATGGTTTATTATTACTTCCAGACCTATAGCAATTTGAAACCACCTATCTAAGTACACCCCATGCTTCTGTCAGTTTGTCATACTGTGGTGGCTCGTGTGTTGCTGTGATGCTAGAAGGTATGCCACCGGTGTTTCCAATGCCAGCAGGGTCACTCATGGTGGGCAGGTTTCAGCAGAGCTTCCAGACTAAGACAGACTAGAAAGAAGGACTAGGGGTCTACTTCCGAAAAATTGGCAAGTGAAAACCTTTTGGATAGCAGCGGAATATTGTCTGATATAGTGACAAAAGATGAGCCCCTCATGTTGGAAGGCATTCAAAATATGACTAGGGAAGAGCTGCCTCCTAAAACTAGAGCTGACCTAGGTGGAGTCAAGCTTTTGGGACCTTCATTTGCTGATATGGCATGACTAAAAGTGAGAAGAAATAGCTGCAAAAAATCCATTAATAATCAGACTGTGGAATGTACAAAGTACGAAACTAGGAAAACTGAAAGTTGTCAAAAATGAAATGGAACACATAAAGATTGATATCCTAGGCATTAGTGAGCTGATATGAACTGGTATTGGCCATTTTGAATTGGACAATCATATGGTCTACTATGCCAGGAATGACAAACTGAAGAGGAATAGCATTGTATTCATCATCAAAAAGAACATTTCAAGATCTATCTGAAGTAAGTACAGCACTGTCAATGATAGGATAATATCCATATGCCTACAAGGGTGACGAGTTAGTATGGCTATTATTTAAATCTATACACCAACCACTAAGGCCAAAGATGAAGAAATTGAAGACTTTTACCAGTCTCTACAGTCTGAAATTGCTCAAACATGCAATCAAGACGCATTGATAATTACTGGTGGTTGGAATGCAAAAGTTGGAAACAAACAAGAATGAACAGTAGTTGGAAAATATGGCCTTGGTGATAGAAATGATGCTAGAGATCTCATGACAGAATTTTGCAAGACCAACAACAACTTCATTGCAGCTACCTTTTTCCAACAACATAAATGACAACTATACACATGGGCCTCTTTGGATGAAATACACAGGAATCAAATTGACTTCATCTGTGGAAATAGACTATAGAAAAGCTCGATATCATCAGTCAGAACAAGGCCAGGGAACAACTGTGGAACAGACCATCAATTGCTCATGTGCAAGTTCAAGTTAAAGATAAAGAAAATTAAAACAAGCCCGTGAGAGCCAAAGTACCACCTTGAGTATACCCCACATGAATTTGGAGACCATTTCAAGAATAGATTTGACACACTGAACACTAATGACAAAAGACCAGACAAGTTAGGGATGATTTCAAGGACATCATACATGAACAAAGTAAAAACAAAAACAAACTCTATGCCATCAAGTCGATTCCGACTCATAGTGACCCTACAGGACAGAGTAGAACTGCCCCATACGGTTTCCAAGGAGTGGCTGGTAGATTCAAACTGCTGACCTGTTGGTTAGCAACCAAACACTTAACCACTGCGCCACCAGGACCCTGAAGAAAGCAAAAGGTCATTAAAAAGAGAGCAAAGAAAGAAAAGACCAAAATGGATGTCAGAAGAGACTCTGAAACTCACTCTTGAATGCAGAGTAGCTGAAGTGAAGGGAAGAAATGATGAAGTAAAAAAGATGAACAAAAGATTTCAAAGGGCGGCTTGAGAAGAAAAAGTAAAGTATTTATAGTGACATGTGCAAACACCTGGAGTTAGAAAACCAAAAGGGAGGAACATATTCAGTATTTTTCAAGCTGAAAGAACTGAAGAAAAAATTCACGCCTGGAGTTGCAATATTGAAGCATTCTACTGGGAAAATGTTAAACGACACAGGAAGCATCAAAAGAAGATGGAAGGAATAAATAGAGTCACTGTACCAAAGATAATCAGTCGACATTCAGCCATTTCAGGAGGTAGCATATGATCAAGAACTAACAGTACTGAAGGAAGACATTTAGCCTGCACTGAAGGCATTAGTGAAAACCAAGGATCCAGGAATTGATGGAATACCAATTAAGATGTTTCAACAATGGATGCAGCGCTAGAGTTGCTCACTCATCTATCCCAAGAAATTTGGAAGATAGCTACCTGGCCAATCGTCTGGAAGAGATCCATATTTGTGCCCATTCCAAAGAAAGGTGATCCAACAGAATGTAGACATTATTAAACAATATCATTAATATCACAGGCAAATAAAATTTTGCTAAAGATGATTAAAAAATGGTTGCAAAAGTACATCGACAGGGAACTGCCAGAAATTCTAGCTGGATTCAGAAGAGGGCATGGAACAATGGATATCATTGCTGAAGTCAGATGGATCTTGGCTGAAAGCAGAGAATGCCGGAAAGATGTTTACCTGTGTTTTACTGTCTATGCAAAGACATTTGACTGTGTCTATCATAACAAATTACAGATAACATTGAGAAGAATGGGAATCCCATCGCACTTAATCTTGCTCATGAAGAACCTGTACGTAGACCAAGAGGCAGTTGTGAGAACAGAGCAAGGGATACCGTGTGGTTTAAAATCAGGAAAGGTAACTGTCAGTGTGTGTTCTTTCACCAAACTTATCAAATCTGTATGCTGAGCAAATAACCTGAGAAGCTGGACTATATGAAGAAGAACTCGGCATCAGGATTGGAGGAAGACTCATTAACAACCTGCAGTATGCAGATGACACAACCTTGCTTGTTGAAAGCAGAGGACTTGAAGCATTTATTGATGAAGATCAAATACTACAGCCTTCAGTATGGATTGCGCCTCAACATAAAACAAAAATCCTTACAATTGGACCTATCAGCAACAGCATAAGTGGAGAAAAAATTGAAGTTCTCAGAGATTTCATTTTTCTTGGATCCACAATCAATGTCCATGAAAGCAGCAGTCAAGAAATCAAAAGATGTATTGCACTGGGCAAATCTACTGCAAACAACCTCTTTAAGGTATTGAAAAGCAAAGATGTTACTTTGAGGACTAAGGTGTGCCTAACCCAAGCCAGGATGTTTTCAGTCACCTCATATGTATGCGAAAGCTGGACTATGAATAAGGAAGACAGAAGAAGAATTGACGCCTTTGAATTGTGGTGTTGGTGAACAATATTAAATATACCATGGACTGCCAGAAAAACGAATAAGTCTGTCTTGGAAGAAATACAGCCAGACTGCTCCTTGAAAGTGAGAATGCCGAGACTTCGTCTCATGTACTTTGGACATATTATCAGGAGGGACCAGTGCCTAGAGAAGGACATCATGCTTGGTAAGGCAGAGGGTTAGTGAAAAAGAGGAAGACCTTCAACGAGATGGATTGACACAGTGGCTGCAACAATGGGCTCAAACATAGCAATGATTTTGAGAACGGTGCATGACCCGGCAGTGTTTCGTTTGGTTGTACTTAGGGTCGATATGAGTCAGAATGGACTGGATGACACCTAACAACAGCAGCCAAGTAGAGAATTCTTTAAGAATTGAGAAGTATGATTTAAACTAGTGTCACATATTGTAGTCTCTCTTCTCTCTTTTCTTTCTCTGTCTCTCTCTACAGGCAAATATGAAGTCCTGCTATATCCTATATTCCATTCCATTAATATTCCAGGGAATAGCAAATATCCCATTAGATGAAGATTATCTTTGAACATACACATTAACCATTTTTTCAAACCCAGAATTCTACAAACTATACCCAGTAGGAATTTACTGGATCTACTTTACCAATGATAGTGTAAGATATTGTAGTACATTAGTGCAATAATACTAAACACTAATTATTAACATTCTTTAGTTGTTATTGCCAGTTAATAAAGGATTCTAGGAAACAGGCCAGTTTTTATTGTAAATTCATGTTTCCAAAAGTTTTAAGAATTAAAAAATCTCTTTTCCCTTCATATCTAGTTTAAGTGAAGCTAAGCTTATGAAATTCATTACTGTAAAACAAAGCAAGATTGGATTTATATGCACAGGGATTAGATATTAATATATGGTTTGATTTTAAGGATTTTTAAAGTTCAAAAGATAAGTTTAACTTTCTTGAACATTACCTGAAATTCCACCAGTAGAGATTTATTTCTCTGAGTTAAGCTTATTAAATAATTAAGTTATTAATAGATTCTGGAAGAAAGATCATTAAGTCTGCATTCAGTCATTAATTATAATAACAGTTAATGTGTTTAGAATGTTTCCTAGGTGCTAGAAACTGTACTAGGTGCTTTTTAAACATGATCTATTATTTTTACAATAGTCCTACGTAGTAGATATTAATTCTCCCATTTTATAGTTGAGAAAATCCAGGGTAATAGAAATCAAGCTACTTTCCTAAGGTGTAAGAGACACAGTCTAGAATCAAACTGAGGTATGCTTGGCTCCAAAGCCTTACCAGTTTCCTATGGACACTGGTTTCTCAGGGAACCTTCTCAATCATCCCAATTAAAGGTTCTTGAGGAAGAGACATAAAGAGGTGAGTTGGGAGGACCACAAAGACAAAATTTAACAGGTCTCATGGTCTCACCAAGGACCAATAATGAGCAGATGTCAGCTTCTATCCAGTCCTTGTCTGAATTACCACCCATTCTCCACTTTGACATCCAGATCTGTAAGATTTGATGGTGTTTTTAATTGATCTTGCAGGCTTTATTTGGTGATAAGATATTCTACTCTCATTCATGGTTCAACCAGTTCATCGCCACCAAGTTCTGCAACCAGAAGCTGTTCCATCGTATTTGCAGCAACTTCCTATTTACTTTGAGTGGATTTGATCCCAGTAACTTAAACGTGGTAGGTGTAAGTACTCAGGTCCAGGAAGCAATTGTTTCATAGCACAGAGGCGATGAGAGTTCATTATGTATTGCATGCAAACCACATTTGACAGTTTCCTTTTTTGTCTCCTGGAATCACATGAGTATTTTCATGACATCCAGCTAGGGCTGAGGGTGTACTTGCATTAGTAGGAAGATTAAAGGAAAACGCTTTGCCGCTAACAATTCTCACCAACTATTGCTGTTGACCAAGATGCCAGCATTGAAAAGCCATTCATTTGGATTAAGGCTATGGTTTTAAAACTTAGCTGGTTGTGCTTGAGCTCTATCCCAGACCTACTGAAGTAGAATCTCAGAGAATGAGCCCAGACTTTTTTTTTTTAAATCAATTTTCCGTTTCCCTGGGTGATTTGGAAATAGTGATTTTGTGAACCACTTACTTCCTTAACCCAATGGGGTAAAGGGATGGCTTTTCAAAGATAGCTTCAGATTTACTGTTAAAATGCATCCTGAGAGGGATGCATGTTGAGGTTCTTGCCAAATCATATCTAACTTAACTGTGATCCTTTCCTTTCTAAGTTACCAGCAGCTGACCCCAAAGAGTGGGAGAGGGACAGAGAGGTTCCTCTCTGCTTTCCAGATAGAGAGGAGATATGTTTGAAACCAGAGGGAGACAGAGGTGAAGAAAGTCTCCGTTTATCTCACAAAATTACTTCTCAGAGCCTATCTCCCTCTGTCCACTGGAAAATACTGATAACACTTTCCTTGTTTTCAAACAAGATTTGTAAAAGGCTTTTTGTGTAAAGCATGCCTTAGCCACTGCTTTTTCACATTCCTTTTCACTTTCTGTTTACTAGGGAAACTATCCTTGCATATTACTTAGATGGAAGCATATAATGTAGGCAGAATTAAGTTAAAAACACCTTAAAACACACACAAAAGAGGTAATTTTAAAGTACCCTCTTGACCTGACCTAAGAATGTGCTACAGAAAGACTTCATAAAATGAAGCCCTTGAACATGCATTGGGTGCCCTCAGCTGAGCATGGATTCAACATTTATGCAGTCAGATTGCCTTTTGCCTCAACTTTGAAGACTAGTCTATGTACTATTATAGCTCCTGCAAAGGCATGTATTTTAGTGGTGCATAATCAGGGTGCAAGAGTAGCATTGGTGAAACTTTGAAAAAATACATATGCCCAGAACTCAACCTTAGAGATTCTGATTCAGTAGGTTTGGGTGGCTCATTGGTAGGTGTTTTCTTTTAAAGCTCCAAGATGTTTCTTCTGCTCACTTTGGTGGAAAATAATTCACACACATACACAAACACACACACACATATATGTACATATATAATACAGTTCAAAATATTAAAGAATCAATTTTTGATGGATGCAGAAGAACTCTGAAGTTTAATGGAGGTTAAAATACTGGGTGGATTATGTCTTATCAACTTTCAAAGAGCCCTGAGGAATATTTACCACATTCTTTACCAGGAGGAGACATTCAGATCTGTTCTCGCTGTCTTTTGACCCAGGGTTTTCTCCAGTGCCCCTTGGAACTTAACACAGAGTGAAGGAGGATGTCCTGATTCCTCTCCAGATGGGTCACTGGGCTTTTATACCATGACCCCCCTGTATTCTTAGACCTCTCTTAGGTGAGGCCAGAAAGGACAAGTACATTACCTTATGCCTCTGGTTAGCAGGATGTCCTCTGTGGGCTTTACGAAGGCATTATCCAGGGTAAAAGAACAGAGCTGGAGGAGGAGAAAGTTCTTAAAAATGGCCTCCTTTGGTTACTATGTCTTCAGAAAGTATAGTGTTTTTTGCTAAAAACAAAAAAAAAAATTATTAAAATTTCTCTCAAATGTTTACTATTAACCTCTAACCAAAAAACCGAACGCGTTGCCATCAAGCCGATTCCAACTCATAGCCACCCCAGAGGACAGAGTAAAACTGCCCGTAGGGTTTCCAAGGAGTGGCTGATGGATTTGAACTGCCACCTTTTGGTTAGCAGCCATATCATTTGATCTCTAGGTGAGGAATAATCTCTTTATTTTGCAGAGTCGAATGGATGTTTATTTGTCACAGAGCCCCGCAGGAACATCTGTTCAGAACATGCTACACTGGGCCCAGGTACGTGCTTCCTATTTCTGATGTCACATGCTGCGCTGCAGTAAGATCCCCAGGGAGCGCTTCTAGGGAGCTCACAGCAGGACTTTGCAGGCACCTGCCACTGTCAGTTTGATGTTTCTGGAATCTCAACAACTCCTCAAGCTGCAAGGCCTCCCTTTCCTTAGGATCAAGATTTTAATTCTCATTAAAAACTAAAGCAATTTCTGTTGAGCCTATTTGGACTCACGGCAACCCCGTGTGTGTCAGAGTAGAAATGTGCTCCATAGGTTTTCCAGTGGCTGATTTTTCAGAAGTAGATCACCAGGACTTTCTCCCCAGGTATCTCTGGGTGGGCTCAAACCTCCAACATTTCTGTTAGAAGCCAAGAGTGCATTAGTCCCCTCTATTCTCCATGTCTTCAGTGTCTGGGCTTTGAATCTGGTCCCCAGATATTCTGCCTGTGTTCTCATACTTAGATTACTCCAAACTGCCTTTTCAAGAAAAGGATTGTATTTCTTCTTTGGGGAAATTGTCAGCTCTAATAGAACTTTATAAATGTTACAGCCTATTCCGGAAAGGTCTGCTCATCCTCCAATTGGCATGTATGACATTTTAGAGTGTGGAGAATAATACTTTATTCATTAAAGCTGAAAATTAAATGTTGGTGAGGGATTTAAATAGATTAACATCTGATGTTTATAACCTGAGTTTAAACTTTATTTGTTTTACTATTTTAACTCAATATTCGGCAAGCTCAGAGATAAGTCAAATTCAATTGCTATGGTTTTCTGAACGTGTGTGCGTGTGCGTGTGTGTAACCTTCATCTATATTCTTGGCCGGTGGCTTTAGTCTCAAAGACTTTTGAAAAGAGATTTGGAAGGTGGGTAAAATATACGTGATTCTTGTGTGTGTGTGTGTGTGTGTGTGCATGTGTGTGTGTGCGAGTGTGTGCATGTGTGTGTGCGTGTGTGCGTGTGTGTGCACGTGTGTGTGCATGTGTGTGCGTGTGTGTGTGCATGTGTGTGTCCACGTGTGTATGTGTGTGTGTGTGCGCGTATGTGTGTGTGTGTGTGGAGAGAGAGAGAGAGGTTTTCCCAAAGGTTTACTATACCTGGGATTCCTAGGAATTTGCATTTTAAATTAAGCCCTAAGAAATTTGTTTCCTCTTTAAAGTTGAGAATCACTGCTATAGATTTTAGAGAAAAAGTTCTCTCTAGCCTGAAACAGGTGTAGCTTGAAATACTAGTTGAGGATTTCTTAAATACTTTGGAGAGTTCCACCTTCAGGAAGCAGCCTTCACATTCCTTTAGGAGGAAAGATGTTCAGCACACAGAGCCTCCTACTGGTAGGGAGACAGATAAACCTTCTAATGCGCATGGCTTCCCAGGTGTACCGTATCAACTGACATTTATTGAGCACTTACTATGTGTTCTTCGTGATGTTCTCATACATGATTTTATTCCATCTCACTGAATTCTCATAACAATTTTTCAGTGAAGCCATTGATATCCCTACTCTAGAAATGTCATAGCCAATCCCTTACACGATTCCCATCTGACTTCTCTTAAGGAGAACTCATCTCCTTTGACAGGAAGTTCCCTTCAGTATAGAAATAAGTAGGGGATATAAAATATTTCATCATGAATTATGTTGACAGCTAAAGCAAGGATGATGATAATGGCAGTAATATTTAGTTAAAAGAGCCAGTTGTTGATCGTTACCAGGCAGTACATGTTTATCCTATGCATTACTCTATTTAATCTTCCAACCTTGTGAGATAAATATCGCTAGCATTCTCATTTCACTTCTCTAAACTTGTTTCCCCATCTGTGAAATGAGAATCATAATAATGTTTATCCCATTGCCCTGGATCACAGATGCAGTGCTGGTTAAGCTTAAATTCAAACCCAGGTCTGTTTGAGGTTAGAAGCCAAGCTTTTACTAGGACATTCTACTACCTTCCATTGCTGAAAATCTGCAGAATTCAAATAGCAGCCCACTGCTGCCCCTATAAATACAAAATCATGGTGGAAATAATGTTTAACTAAAAACTGAGATCAAATCAATAAATGTGGGGGGAAAAAAAAAAGAGTCAAGCTAAGAAAAGACCCCTTAGAGTACTCTGGGAATAATTTAATGAAGAGCTTAAAGTAAATGTGACAACTGTCTACCTCCTGAATTCAGTATGGATGACAAATGGAAGAAAAAGGAAACCCAAGGTATATTACTTGTAACACACAGCGACCCTGTAGGACAGAGTAGACTGCCCCATAGGGTTTCTAATGCTGTAATCATTATGGAAGCAGACTGCCACATCTTTATCCCACAGAGCGGCTGGTGGGTTCAAACTTCTGGCCTTTTGGTTAGCAGCCGAGTGCTTAACCACTCGGTGGACTCGGTGGCAATGGGTTAAGGTGCATTAATTTTTCTCTTCTAATATCTGAAGTCTGGAAATCAAAATGCATAAATGGTCATGTCTGGTGTCCCAGTGACTCAATGTCGTGGCTCAGCAGACAGTAGGCAGACAGCAACCCCACACCTCACAGAAAGCTCTAACGGGGCTCTGAGAGTAAGCATATTTCTTAATAGTAATAAATATGCTTAAGAATAAGGAAGACAGTGATAATACCCTGCACTTAGTCTCCGGCTGGTACAACAGTTAATGCATTGGCTGCTAACCAAAAGGTTGGAGGTTCGAGTCCACCCAGAGGCACCTGTCAATTTGCTCCTGAAAAATCAGCCTTTGAAAACTCTATGGAGCACAGTTATACTCTGGCACGCGGGGTCACCATGAATTGGAATTGACTTGACGGCAAATGGTTTGGTTTTTTGGAGTAATACCCTAGAACTCCTGATAAGGATAATAAGATATAAAGTTGTTTAATATTAATAGCAGTAATTTTTTAAATGTAGGAAATGCATAGCTGGTGCCTTTAAAAAAAATTATAAGAATTCCTGGAGCCAAGATATTCAAGAACCAATTAATTGAGCGTTCGTGTTTAAATTTCTAATTAAACTAAACATTTGAAAATATCCCTGCCCAAGGATTTTCATTAGGAAGGCCACCAGAGCTCCTACGAAGGTACAGAGAGAAGTAAAAGATTATATCTGTAACACATCAAGTCAGTTCTGTCGATCAGTTCAAATTTTTATCATTTTTTATTTTTTAACTTATTAATGTATTTTTAATTTTTAACTCATGTGCCTACGTAGTGAGACATATGTGAATCTCCTTTGTATATTTCTTGTTTACTGTCTTTAAATGAACACTGTTTTCTTGTATCACTTAAACATGTTTATTATTTTTATTTTACTTAAGGCTGTTAATTCTGGTCAGTTCCAAGCTTTTGACTGGGGAAACCCAAATCAGAACAAGATGCACTTCAATCAGGTACAATATAATAATAATACTAATAATCAGTTGTATACTGCAAATGAACTAATAAAAACAGTATCCACTTACTGATTACCTACTAGGTCCTATTCACTATGCAGATATTTTATACACATCAGATGCTGCTTATTGGATTCTTACCATGTGCCATACTATTATTTCTGATCCTCATAATGACTTGGCAAGGTAAATATTATCCCATTTTCCAGAGGCTCAGAGAGGTTAGGTAAATTGCCAGTCATTTATGCTAGTAAAGAAACCTGACCCAGGATTTCTTAGATCTAAAGTCTATCCTTTTATTACACACCTATTGCGTCTCAAAAAATAGCCTCAGCACTTAATTTAGAACATATTTTGAAGAGAGAATTAAAGATACATAATCTTTATTTCTAAAGTATATTCTATGACTTCTTATCCATCTCTAACAAAGGGAATGCTGTCATCATTCTTTGAGATATCATTTACTATCCATTTTTGAAAAAACAATATATAGATTATTAAAGATATACCAGAGAGAAATCACCTAAGAAATAAACAGTAATATCTGCCAGAAAATGGTGTGTCAAGACATATCTTGACATAATCTGAAAATTTTTGGAAAAATATATAATCAAGGGAAATGCGTGTTACTAGTGTCACTGTTATTTTTTCCAGCATAGAAGCAAATCCAATGATTTTGGCTTCTTGCTGATAGACTGAGCTCAAATTGAGCAAGTGATCATCAAAGATGTGCTTTTTATAAATCAGGGATGTGGAGATTTGGGAATTTTTTTTTAATGTTATTTCTTGAAATTTTTTTAAATGATAATTTTAGTGACAACTCAATAACTGCAATAATTAAACTTTTTTACTTTGACAGGAGTGAAAATTTTTTTTTCTCCTAAGCTGCTATTATTATGTGTACACACACACACACACACACACACACACACACTATGTCAAAGTATTATTTACTCCTGTTATTAACCAATCTCTGTCCTAGAAAGTCTACACAATTGCTTTAGGAGAAACTTTTATTTTATTATTTTTTTAAATAATGTTTTATTTTGAGTTTTGGTGGAAGTTTACACAGCAAGTTAGTTTCCTGTCTGAGAATTTCCACACAAATTGTTCAGTGACATTAGTTGCATTTATCACAATGTGTCAACATTCTCTATAACTGTGTTCAGTTTGTTCCCTTTGAGGTACTCTAGTTTCCCTGCCCCCTTATCTTCTCATCTTTCTTTTTGAGTAATTGTTAACCTTCTGGTCTCATACTGATGGTTTTTAAGTAGGGCACCTATCTTAGGGGTAATATCCTTTATTTTACGTGCCACTTACACTATTTCGCTAAAAGGTGATCTCAGGGGATAGGCTCAGTTCTAGGTTTAAAGAGTGTCTTAGGGCAATCGTCTCAGGGAGTCCTCTGTTCTCTACAGTTCCTCTCTTCTCAAACTGTTTCAGTTTGTCTGCTTTTTTTTTTTTTTTTAAATAAGAACTTGAGTTCTGCTCCATATTTTAGGAGAAGATTTTTAGATGACCATTACCCTGTAAGACTCAGATATCTGCTTGGATAAGAGCTGGGTCATAGGTATTAACTTTAACACTATGCTCACATATTCAATAAAAATCATGACTACATGGTGATTCAGGTTCAGGTTCAAAAAACGTGACTAACTAAGAAAAACCCGAAACAATACTGACAGTGAACTATATGCATGCTTAAAAACCACGAAGGTTTCCTTCAACTACAATTAATGACACCAACTTTTGACTGAAGAGGACACACATCTAGTAAAAGTAGTACTAGAAAGATGGTCCTCCAGGGAAATAAGACACTCCTTCCTCTAGAATCTTTTCTTATTCCCTCAAAGTACAAGTTAGTAATATAATGGCTGTCCTTATTATTCACAATTCATATATTGCACAAAAGTACTTTCAATTTTCTTAATATTTCAATGATTTTATATAAGTTTATCTTAATTGCACACTTTTAGCTTTGAAGAACTTGCTAAAGAGCTGAAAGTTAATATTATTTCTTTAATGTGGTTTTCTGTAAAAACTTTTTTTTCCTCTATCTCTTCAACTGCATTTAGCTTACACCTCCCTTATACAACGTTACTAAGATGGAAGTTCCAACAGCAGTGTGGAATGGTGGACAGGACCTTGTGGCTGATCCCAAGGATGTTCAGAATTTACTTCCTAAAATTTCCAACCTTATTTATTACAAGTGGATTCCACACTACAATCATGTGGATTTTTACCTTGGAAAGGATGCACCGAAGGAAATTTACCAAGACCTAATTAGCTTGATGGAACAATGTTTGCAAAATTAAATACACAATGTGACGGACAGACTCTAAGGTGACTCCAGTGATTCTCACTCCCTGGTGTTCACACATCTGTGTAATCTCTCTCCCCTTGACTATGGATGGGACCTGTGACTTGCTTCTAACCAATAGAATTGGCAAAGGTGAGGGAATGTCACACCCCAACTACCTTATATTATATAGGAATCTGTCTTAGCAGACTGTTAACAAGAGATTCTCTTTGTTGGCTTGATGAGGTAAACAACCATGTTGAAGGAGCTCACGTGGCAAGCAACTGTGCGCAGCCCCAAGGACCTGAGGGTGGCCTCCAGCTAACAGTCAGCAAGAAGCTCAGCCTTCAGTCATACAGCCACAGTGATATGAATTCTGCCCAAGACCTGAATGATCTTGGAAGTTTATTCTTCCTTAGCTGAGCCTCCGCTTGAGAACACAGTCTGCTAACACTTTCACTGCAGCCTGGTGGGACCCTGAGCAGAGAGCCTAGCTAAGCCTGCCTGGACTCCTGACCCACAAAAACAGTGAGCTTATAAATATGTGTCATTTTAAGCCACTAAATCCATGGTAATTTGTTACCAGCAATAGTAAACAACGTGACCTAAAACCAAACCCATTGCGGTTCAGTCAACTCCAACTCAGTGACCTTATAGGGCAGAATAGAACTGCCTTATAGGGTTTCCAAGGCTGCAATTTTTACAGGAGCAGATTGCCAGGTCTTTTCTCCCTCAGAACAGCTAGTGGGTTCGAACTGCCAACATTTCGGTTAGCAGCCCGGTGCCTAACCACTGCATCACTAGGGCTCCTTAGTAAACAACTACTGTTACTAAATATCATGGTTTTGTTTTTTTTTTTTTCCTTTGGCTAAGAGCTTGAGAGGAGTACCTGGCTGGTACAAACCATGTAGCGCTCGACCACCAGTCGAAACGTTGGCAGTTCAAACCCACCCAGAGGCACCTTGGAAGACAGGACTGGTGATCTGCTTCCAAAAGTTCACAGCCTTGAAAACCCAATCGAGTGCGGTTTTAATTTGCAACACATGGAGTCACCATGAGTCAGAATTGACTCGATGGTAACTAACAACAAGAGATTGAGAGACCTTGTTCTTTACCACTCTCTGCTGATGTTGATCACATTTTCAGAATAAACTCAGGGCAAGTCAGTGGTATTTAAACATTTTGCTCACCTACCCCTTAATGAATTTTGAGCTACACTCTCACACAAGTTAAAGTGACTTTTTTTTCAGCATATATTTAAATAGTTGCAAAGAATAAAGTTTCTGATGTATTATGAATAAAAAAAAGAACCAAACCCGTTGCGGTTGAGTCAATTCTGACTCATGGCAACCCTATAGGACAGAGTAGAACTGCCCCACAGGGTTTCGAAGGGGCTGCTGGTGGATTCGAACTGTTGACTTTTTGGTTAGCAGCTGAGCTCGTAACCACTGCACCACCAGGGCTGACATTATAAATAAAATGATTGCATCTCTCTTTAAACATGTTGAATAAAATCTAAATAGCATAGTGATGTGAAGTTCACAGTCATACATGTAAGAAATATGTGAAAAACACTTATTTATGAATCAGATATTTTAATTGTCTCACTTGCACTCATATTTTCCTTGAAATTCTCCATAGAGTGGTCCTAGTGTATTTTTATGATCAAAGGTCTTATATTAGTCCCCGCAGCATACTTCTCTGTAACAAAAAATATAAATAAATTGGAATATTGATATACATACCTTTATTAATACCATAGCACTCTAAACTTAAATTTTTCTTCATATTTAAGTTACCACTATAATAAATATTGGTATACAATATAAAAAACAACACAAACATTAACTTTAATAAATAGTTTTAAAACATGATATTAAAAATTTTACTGGAAATACCCCTCTTAGTGATATGTTTGGGGGATTTTTTTTTTCAATTAGCTCATATGTCCACAAATGAATGTAACTTATTGCTAGAGCGAAATAGGGATTAGCATCAATTCTACCTCTATTTTTCTTTTGGTTTCACATAAATAAGTAGTTCTGACTGGAAGAATATTTGATATAAATTTTTAACTCCTTATGAGTTATTGCTAAAAATTATTTTTAATGATCTACTATTAAGAGAAGGAGTCCTGGTGGCACAGGGGCTTGGCTGCTAATTGAGAGGTTTGAACCCATCAACCTCTGTAGGAGAAAGATGTGGCAGCCCCCTTCCATAAATATTATAGCCTTGGAAACTTTATGGGGCAGTTCTACTCTGCTCTTTAGTGTTGCTATGAGTTGGAATCAACGACAATGGGTTTGGTTTTTGGTTTGGACTAGTTAAGAACCAATTAAGAATTTTTTTTTTTTTTTTTTTTGGTCAGGCAGTTACCTGCAGAGCAGTTTGATTGTTTTGAGGCTTGTTTTTCATCTCTTTAAGGACTGATCTGGAGTCACCACTGCTCCCAGGAAGTATTGCCTTACTATTGAAGCATGAACCTTCTGAGGCTTCTATTGAATTCCTCAGAAAGGTGTTCAGAAAGATCTTTCCATGCTGGCTGGTGGAAACTCAGATTAGTCATTTGTACTATGTGCACTCTAGAAATTGTTTTTCTTATAGTTCCCTGGTAATTTTTCTTTCTCTGGAAGTTTTACTTTGTTCAGTCTTGTGGAATTTTATCCTTTATTCCAGCAAGGGTTACATCATTAATAATCTTCTAATACATATCTCTCATTCTCATCCACAAGATTGTCCCACTCTGTTTACCCTACACTGAATGGAGCTTAATTAAAACTTAAGTCACAGTATTGCATTTCTCAATCAAGTAGGATCGTCTTATTTTTATTGATATATCCTAAAAAGATTTGTTTCTGATTTATAATTTAGTTTTAGTAGGAATCTCAAGATACATCACCATCACTAACAGAAATCATATCAATTTAATATTTTTAGTTTGATTTTACTATACATGTCCAGATATCTGAGCACTGGAAGCTTCTAGAGAGGAGAAAACTTAAACATTGAATCATTTTTCAATTCTACCATAAGCATACTTTGCATAGGATTTGGGAAGTCAGATACTTCCTTAGTGATGCCTCCCTTGAAAATAGGAACTAGATAAGGATGCCCTTTATCACCACTCCTATTCAACTTTGTGCTGGAAGGCCTAGCTAGAGCAATTAGGTAAGAGAAGGAAATAAAGGGCATTAAATTGGCAAGGAAGAAGTAAAACTGTCTCTATTCACAAATGATATGATCCTGTACATAGACAATCCCAAAGAATCCACAAGAAAGCTACTGGAACGAATAGAAGGATTCAGCAAAGTAGTAGGATACAACATCAGCATACAAAAATCAGTCAGATTCCTCTACACCAACAAACAGAACTTTGAACAGGAAATCAGGGAAACAGTACCATTTACAATAGCCTCTCAAAAATAAAATACTTAGGAATAAATTTGACCAGGGGTATAAAAGACATATACAAAGCAAAATACATAACGCAATTGTGAGAAACCAAAAAAGACCTACATAAATAGGAAAACATACCATGTTCGTGGATAGGAAGACTTAACATTGTGAAAATGTCAATATTACCCAAAGCGATCTATAGATATAGTGCAATCCTGATCCAAATTCCAACTGTATCTTTAACAAGGAGGAAAAACTAATCACAAACTTTATATGGAAAGGAAAGAGGACACAAGTAAGTAAAACATTATTGAAGAAGAAGAACAAAACAAGAGGCCTCACACTTCTTGATCTCAGAATCCACTACACAGCCATGGTAGACAAAACAATCTGGTAATGGCACAATGACAGACAACTAGACCAGTGAGACAGAACTGAGAATCCAGAAGTAAATCCATCCACCTGTGGACAGCTGATCTTCAACAAAGGGCCAAAGTCCATCAAATGGGGAAGAGAAAAATCTCTTTAATAAATGGTGCTGGCAAAATTGGATATCTATGTGTAGAAAAATGAAACAGGACTCATAACTTACACTATACACAAAAACTAACTCAAATGGGTCAAAGACCTAAGTATAAAACCTACAACTATAAAGACCATGGAAGAAAAAATAGGGACAACCCTAGGGGCTCTGACACATGGCATAAATAGTATGCCAACCATAACTAAAAATGCACAAACAGCAGAAGATAAACCAGATGAACAGAACCTTCTAAAAATTAACCACTTATGCTCATCAAAAGACTTCTCCAAAAGAATAAAAAGAGACGCTATGGACTGGGGAAAAAAATTTTGGCTACAAAATATCTGATGAGGGGGTTAATCTCTAAAATTTATAGAAAACTTCAACACCTCAACAACAAAATCAAACAAACAACCCAGTTGAAAAAATGGACAAAGGGCATGAACAGACACTTCTCCAAAGAAGACATTCAGGCAGCTAACAAACACATGAAGAAATGTGCACGATCATTAGCCATTAGAGAGCTTCAAATCAAAACTACAATGAGATACCATCTCATTCTAACATTACTGGCACTAATCAAATGCTGGAGAGGTTGTGGGGTGATTGGAACTCTCATACACTGCTGGTGGGAATGTAAAATGGCATAACCACTAAGGAAAATGATATGGCGCTTCCTTAAAAAGCTAGAAATAGAAATACCATATGATCCAGCAATCTTACTCCTGGGTATATATCCTGGAGAAATAAGAATCGTCAAATGAATAGACATATACACATCCATATTCACTGCAGCATTATTCACAACAAAGGATGAAAACAACCTAAGTGCCTATCAACAGACTAACGGATAAACAGACTGTGGTACATACACACAATGGAATACTATGGAAAGATAAAGAATAATGGCAGATCTGAAAATCATCTCACAACATGCATGAATTTGGAGGATATTAAGTTGAGTGAAATAATCCAATCACAAAAGGGCAAATATTGTATGAGACCACTATTATAAAAAAACAAGAAAAGGTTTACACACAGAAAAAAAAAATTTTATTGATAGTTACCAGGGAATCTAATTACTAAATAGATTGAAGACATGTGTTAATATTGGTAAAGGGAAAGGCAATACACTATACAGGGGAAGTCAGCACAACATAATAAAGGCAAAGAAAGACACTGAGAGGAACACAAGAACAAAGGGCAACTACAGCAATTACTATAACATAGACGATCCTGCAACAACAGTATTAACAAACAATAATTTACAAAGGGATACACAGGTAAATAAGTATGTTAAAGAGGTGTGGGAGGATGTAAGGGAGCATACCCACCTGCAGATATAGTCTATGTTGTGGTTATTTCTACATACATACTTGTAGATGTTGCATGTATATTAATATAGACAATAGAACACACAAGTGGCACAGTCATGGAAACTTCTTATGCATAGTCAAACACCTCCTGGGATGAAGACAGTAGACTTGAAGGCTAAGTACCATAGATTCAGGGGACATCTATGTCAATTGGCGTAGCATAGTGCATTAAAACAATGTTCTACATCTTACTTCGGTGAGTAGCATCTGAGGTCTTAAAATCTTGTGAGCGGCCATCTAAGATACAGCTAGTGGTCTCCTCCCGTCCAGAGTAAAGGCGAGTGAAGAAAACCAAATACTCAAGGGAGTGATTAGTCCAAAGGATTAATGGACCATATACAC